CCGCGAATAATGTAACTGCGGGATACCTCCGTTCTAAATTTAAATTGAACCCGAACAAAAGCGTCACGCGGTTCGCGCCTTTTCACAAATGACATATAAAGAAATGATAGATAAAAAATTATGCCTTTGTGAGTTACGTAACTTTTGCTCGGTGCTCCCGAATTAACAGTTTAATTATGTTGGTGGTATTTTAAATTTAATTTAAGTTATCAACTCATGCGTGAAGGTTCTGGGAGAGGTTATTAGTCACTTGTACTCACCGAAAATATGAATTAGCTAGTAGAATTCATCCGTAATGGAAAGGTTAATAAGAAGCCTGAAACTAATATTCGCACAGACAGAGCGCTATCGATTACCGATGGTTGGGTCTGATATTAATAATTAAAGCATTCTAACCAACAAGAATGGTAATAGTCATATTTCTAAATACTTTGCTCTTGTTTAGTTACATAAGCAATTTGTATTTTTGCAAACAAACCAAAAAAGTTGATTGCTTATATCTAAATATATTTAGAGGAAATGTGACTTTTTTGTTTATATTGTTGACCATTCGGTATCTTCCGTTTAATATAAATATTTAATAAAAAAAAATAATACCTATAATTATAAGCAGTTTATGAATGTATTTCTATCTAGATAATGTACACTAAACGTTTTATTATTTTCAAATATTGGTCTTCCATTTGAGGCTTTATCTATAATATAAGACTTAGTAACTCTGAAACAAATGTGTTAATGTTCCGATATTATATAACTATACGTATGTATATTTATTGCTATTTATTAATCATAAGTTACTTTATTTAACAATCAGCTCTGGATTATAAAATTAGTAATATTAAGAATACCTAATTCTCTTTGAGAATAACTATGTGCAATCTATTTATTCCATTCCTACAACCTTTTAGTTGACAGAATATTATCTGCGATTCAGTAAAGAACAATGGCGAACTCCCATATAGCTTTGGACCTGAATTTTTAAAGTCCCGTTCATGAATGAAATAAACGTGTACTTGACGGTATAAGCTAAACTAACAAAATCCTAATCGTCTTTTTCCTTTAAAAGTTGGGATTAAAAAGATATGGCATAAAATACTTTGTGGGGTTATATATTGCATCATTGCTTTTTCGTCGAATGGACGTTAAAATAAATAAAAATGGTAACCAGAATACTCCGTTTAATAAACTAGATTAAAATAATTACATATCAAACAAGATCCAGACACTTATAATAAAAGAAACATTTATAACATATGACTAGACTGTGTGGAGTAGATCCCTTTTCCTTTAATTAAATCATTATTTACACACAACTGAAAGTGACAAATAAGGGCAATGTACACATTGAACTGTCATTGTTATAACCGAATCGATTGCCATTCGCAATCCAAAAGTAATGCAAATATCAACGTTAGTCGAAGAAACATGCTTAGTTGTCAAGTTAAATATTAACATAAATATCAAACTCCACGGACGAACACACAACAAACAAACCAAACCAATCATCCGCTATCATTCCACCATCATCATCATAGAACATTCATAGATGAAAACAAGCATGTCAAAATAAAATCAACCAATCGATTATTTAGAACAAAATAATCGATACGTTAACCTTTTATCGGATCAACTGCAGAACTGACAATAATCTTCTTAAATCGGTTGTGGTATCTTAGCTTTCAATTTTTTTATTTCTCAAGTATGCAGAACGTAATTTAAACGAATAAAATAAATATTTATGAAAGTATTCAAAGACCGTATTTCATATAATATATTATATATAGATTTTATATTGAATATATATTTGACGTTCATTCGCTCAGTCGGTACGCATCATTACATCACATATCTCACTTATAATTAGCAGTAAATGGCGACAGATAATATTCTATAGCACATGTTTGAAAAACTCGCAATTAATTGAGAATCGCTTCTGACATCGTTGATGTATGTGATCGATTTTTCAAAAACCTTCCAAACTACAACCCTTTGACATATTGTGTGGTTTTCAATTAAAGAGAACGGAATCTATTCTATACAATCTTTTTTTGAATTTATATTCGATTATTAAACGTATTAATGGTACTTTAAAGGCAATAGAATTAATTGCAATGTACAGGAAACGATAATATCCATTAAAAATAGATGACCCTTTTATTGTCCAGCGCAAAATTCATGAAACACTTCCAAGATATAGTTTTAGTATTAAAGTACTTCTGCGTAGACCAGAACGTTTCTTAAGAAGATTTTTGCGTTTTGTTTTTGCACTATCATCAGACGTTTTGTTATCTTGATAATTATTAGTAACATTTGATATTTTAGTTTGGTTCCCCGACATTAAAATACACCATTTTGTAGGAATAAAATCTATTATTCATATATTATTTATTTGTCATATCGCCATCCATGTACGGTTTTGTAAATTATAGGGTCTGATTTCGCCATTCTTCTTTAATTCACCGTGCTGCAATATAATTTTATCCCATGGGACTGCGAAGGGGAAAATGCCATATGAATATTATTGCTCAATAGGTTAGGAAAAGAAACGATGTCAACCTTATTATTAGACATGGAAAACTACTGTATTGATATATTGGATACGCCATTATTCAACAGCTTCTTTCTATAAATAACCTTAAGAGGAGTAGGTAATACAGTTAGGAGTAGGTAATACTAGGAGTAGGTAAATAGGACCTGAAAGATTGCGTCGTGTAAAACTGTTAGACATGCACCGCTGGTTCGTACATGTGGAAAAAAACATTAAAATTGATAAACAATGCAAAACTTAATGTTCAAGGGAACCGAATTGGACATGCAATTAGATAAAATATTAAATTATGTTTGGTCAAAGAGTTCGTAAAATTTAAATATTATTCAAATTTATATATTATTTAAATATTATTGTCAAACGTTAATTAATGGTTTATATTTTAAAATCAAGAAACTAAAATTTTCTCGTCTTACGTTACACGAAATACCAACCAGAGCACGTGACGTCATGGGTGAATTGGTAATAAAATTCAAAACTTTCAAAAATTAAGTTATTTTAATCGTTCACTGAATGTTCTTCAAGTGATTTGTGTTCCTTTTCAATAAAAACTTATTGTAATTAGATTTATTTATTTGTCTATACCATCTTATCTATATCTATATTTACTAACACTAATATCATATTATTAAGAAGAATGATTTGATTATTTATTTATTTGCAGCGAATAGGTTCTAAGACTACTTTACCGGTTTAAAAAATTATTACATTTACTGCTAGCTACATCATACGGGATTGACTTAGACTATAATTTCCCGGGACAACGACAAAAGTTATGATATCATAACACACTAGCGGTGTTATGATATGATAACTTTTTTCTATATCTAATTTTATAACAACCAAAGAGAATCTAAACATTAGCCTTGTCATAGATAAAGTATTCCATAAATAACTGTATGTAAAGAACGCGTCAGTTGTCACTTAAATACCAAAATCACTGAAAAAGTTCAAAAAATCTTTTTGTAAATCCAAAATGATCCTTTCCTAATGGCACTGTGAAACTACAAATGGTAGGTTGAAATAAAACAAGATGGCCACTGAGGTTACAGACAATGTGGCCATCAGTGAGGCAAAGGATAGCGTTACTCGAGGTCTGAACCAAAGAACATCATCGGAGACTGTCACCAACGAGAACTGCCAGGAACAGGTAAAAAATCCCATCTTATTTGTCTATAACGTGCCGCCGTATCTCTTGCGGGGTAGGCAGAGAGGAGCGAGTGCCACAAGGCGGAACTATTTAAAATCTCTTGTTTACTATTTTAAAACGGGCTGTGCATATACGTCTTTCATCTCCTCCAGTTCTTAATAAAATCTAATATAAAGACTGCTTAAGAATGGAGTACACTGCCTGGTCATGTATTCCCCGTTCAGTACAAGCTGGAACAATAGCCACTTGCTGGAAAAAAAATACACTCTTAAACCACGCCTTGGGTACTTACGACTATGTCAAATAGTGGCCAAATGTCACTCAAGTATTTGAATTTAAAAAAATCTATAACGTTTTTGTCGATTTTTATTCTATTAACTCAATACGTAGGTACTGGACCGTTAATTAATTATTTTACTTGTGTAAAGTAGGCTAATGTCAGCGGGTAACTTAGTCAATTTATCAACTAAGTTATGAGGTCAGTAGTGTTATAAGAAATATGCATGTTTTAGAGTTGCGTACATAAAATATGCCAACAAAACTCTAGAGTTCATTATGAACTATAAATAATAAATAATTTAATGGTAAAAGCTTAAAAAAAAACATCAGGCCAAGGTACTTCAAGATGGAAGTCGAACCCACAACCATATATGTATATTCTACTAGTTAAATGAAATAGACTTAAGAACCGTTAATCACAAATATTTATTATTCAAGGAAGCGAAAAGCTTTGAAAAGGCAGTACTCCCTATGGTTCACTGTTAGGTATTCCTGCAAGAGATTCGTTTTGAAGATATGTGTCATCACCAACTATTAATGACCCCACTGTTGAAGTACAGGTCTTCCCTGAGGATGGGAACGAATCGCATAGAAAACAGAGAATAGGCCCTCAGGCATGACTCATGACCCATGATGACATGATGGTATTTACTACCGCAGATGTAGCTTGGACTAACGGTTTAACGTGCTTTCGAAGCACGAAGGAGCTCAAGATATTATATTTTTGGCCACCCATCTGTCCAGGCCTTGTGAAAGTGGTTAAACATCTAGCTCCTCCAGAAGATATGCAAATACGTTTTTGTTTTAATTTTTGTTACATTCACAGACGTTTTTAAATTTAGCTTAGACAGCTAAGTCACATTTATTTAGTTTGCAATTGATCCGAAAGGTCTAAAATGTAACTTTAAAATTTTAAAGTTACATTTTAGATAATCAAAGCATAATCAAGAATTCTGCATTTATTTTGCAAATATTTAATTAATCAATACCTTCCCTGAAACTTATCTAGACTTATATGTTACAATGCAGGATGCTGATTCATCGTTTTACACGTTGGCAAGCCAGAGTCAGTTCAGCAGAGATATTGACCACTGGATCAGAGGTGGGTCTATCCAGACCACGGGTGTGCAGAACAGCAGGTGACCGACTAGATACTTATTAAGGGAGTTACCAATTTGCCTTTTTTGAATGATAAAAGTTGTCCTAACAATTATTTTATCAAAATCATGAACCAACGTAAATATATATAACTACTTGTTAAATTATAGCCTGCGTCAAAAGCGTATGATGCACAGAACATAGAGAGAGATGATGCATGCAGCTTCTCGTAGATAAAATAATTATTAAAATCGTTCCAGTAGTTTCAGAGCCTATTCGATGCAAAATTAAATACAAGGAACCAAATATATCGTCTAAAATTATTTGTCGAAAGCTCAAATCTCAAGGGCTAAATAAACTAAGGTTTTAGAAAGTTATGACGTCATATGCCACAGCATTCCCGACTTTTATTGTAACTTCATTATTAAACTGTGTCTAAGTTAAAAGGGTTTTAATTAAACTATCTAGGTTAAAAGGGTTTTATAACGTAAACAATAAAATATTTTTTGATTTGTCCAGGGCAAACCTTGTCCAACGTTCTACCCTAACTGCCACAGCCTCCCTGGGCATCTCCAGCGTGTGGTACGTGCTCGCGATGATCCTGCCACTCTTCAGTGTAAACATCAACTGTAATCAATGGAGATACAACCCCAGGTAATAGTTAGTTTTTCATCTCTATTACAGATTACATAATTAATACAATATTTACCTACTAAATTACAGGCAGAAGGAATGGCATACGATAAACATAATGTCACAATTGGACGTACATAGTTAATCAAAAAGGATCCATCCCACACAAAATCACTTTTGAGATATAGACGATTGAAGTTAAAGCTGTATTTGCATGTTGGTGTAACATTTTTGTGTATTATATTTTTATCTAATAGCACAGAAAACCACTTACATTATCTTACGAGTATTATAATGTCATTTTAACAGAACTAACAATATTTATTAAAATATAAAGGTTAAAATATTTTGATATATTTAGGTTCTAATTACCTTATTATTACAAAAAAAAAACTCAAAAATGATCCAAATAATCCAAATCCTTTTTGAGTAACTACGTCCAATTGGAAACGCCATCTAGTCTGTTAATTATAAAACAAAGAGATATTTAACAGCATAGTATGTCGAGTTAAATGAAGTCTAGAAAATATTATGTGGAAAAAGTTTGTTATGAGATAAATTTATTTTTAATTAGTTAAATAACTCAATAAAAATATATACTAGAGAATTATATACAGCGCTATCTATGCAAGATAGACATCATTTCGATCAACCTGTAGAGGAAAATAGTACAACATATCGGCCGTTTCCAAACGCAGAAGTGGCTATTGAAATGATGTTGTTTTTGAGCGCCAACAGATGGCGTTTGGGTTTTAATATGATATTATTTTTTTATCGTAACGTTTCAGACAAGATATTGAAAATAATATTAAGTACGTAAAATGTATATTTAATTCTTTTAAATAAAAATGCTTTAAGCATCCACCAACCCCAGTTAACCCAGTTTTTCACGAGATTTAACATAAAATAAGTACAAATAAAGCTATTTTGCCTATAAGATGGCGCAATGATTCGATTCGATTCAACCCATATTATGGGGGGTCTGTGCCCTAGCAATGGGGACTTTGATAGGCTGATGTTGAGTTTTCTTTATAAGAAACAAACCTTCCTATCTATAGTTTAATAATTTAAAAGGATTGGGCACATTTACCTGAACAAGCAAATTCTTCTTGTGTCTTTAATTTCTTTATTTTTATATTATCTAATAGAACCCCTCGTCGATATATTTTAGTTATTTTTTCAGCGATATCATTTTCTATATTTAGAATGACGTTTTCTTTCCCGAAAATCAGTGAAGTACATAAAATTGTCAAATTACTCTATTTGAGAGGTACGGAATTAGGGGAAATGCTTGGATAGAGACTTATCTTAAAGATAGGCAACAATGCGTTGATATATCCCATTTTGTTGAACAATTTATTTATCGATCTAGCTATCGCTTCAATCGGTGTGGTGTACCAGAGGGTAGTGTTTTAGGACCATTGTTGTTCTTACTATATAGGTATAAATGACCTTCCAGATGTCTGTGAGCAACAATGCATTTTGTATGCAGATGATACAATACTCATTTTTAACGAAAAGAGTAAGGAGGCACCAGAATACACAGCCATGACTAGTTTAATAAAAAATGATAAATAAAATAAGTTTGAAAATTAATGCCAGTAATCCAAATTAATACATTTCAAATCAAAAAATAGTTATAATATTAAGTTTAATATAAAAATAAATAATATTGAAATTGAAGATGTAAAAACAGCGTCATTTTTGGCTATAAAAATTGATGAATTTATGAACTGGAAATCACATATAGACAAAATAATATCAAAGATAGAAAGTTTCATATATGCTCTAAACCGAATCAGACAAGTGGTATCAAAACAATGTCAATGTCAGTTCTAAGTTGCTTTATGGCATAATTGTGTGGGGAAATTCGGTTGACTTGGTGAGTTACAGAGGCTCCATGTAAAATAAATAAATGTATATTCAAACAATTGTTTCCGCATGGCACTACGTATTTTAATAAATTACCGACAGATATAACAAAGTTACCATTTAATAAATTTAAGAAAGCAGTATTAAATTTATTATTGGATAAAATGTATAATAATGTAGGGAATGCAATCTCGCGAGATTGGGACTCGGGCGAGATCTCGCGAGTTTATAAATATCAATACCGCGAGATCTCGCTAGACTGCCACGTTTGTGCGTTTACTGTTTTAGTGTTATATTTATTTAACTTACAATATTTGTATAAATTAGGAAAAACCATAGGACTTTTAGGTATTATGAAATAAACATTTATTTTGACGGGTATTTTCAATAAAATTTTATGTATTTAACATTGTTTGACGCAATTATTTTTTTTATCGTAAACCTTTAAAAGAGCAATTACTGTATTATAATCTCGGAAACGGCTCCAACAATTTTCATGACATTAAGTATGCAGGGGCTTTCAGAGGCGATGAATCGATTTAGTTAGTTCTCTGCTAATATCAAATAAAAGTGTAATTATAATACACAGGTTTTTTTTATAACAAAAATACAGAAACTAAAATTAAACTCATTAACTAAGTTGAATTGATTATAGAACTGAGATTATTATCAATTAAAGAAAACTATGCGTACCCAGAGATCTATCAGAAATTAGTGAATAAATTAACAAAACATACCAATCAATTTAAAGGTTTGTTCAGTTCACTTCACACGTCATTATTGCGAATAATTTTGACAGTGACTTCTTAAGAAGCACAAAATGTCCAAAGAATCTTTGCTTTTCATCTTATTATCGTGCTGGCCACTGCCGGGCCAGCCACCGAGAAGGGCCTTTCGAAAACACTAGTTAAACTCGCGCTGCCGCACTTAGATTTAAATCGTTTTTAAGCTCGAGTGTAATCTCGTTAAACTCGCGAGATCTCGCCCATTTTTCGACCGAGATCAATCTCGCAAAAAGAAGCCGAGATCTCGCGAGAACAATATTGTATTCCCTATTATAATTTTAACGACTTCATAAATTATAAATTTTGGCATTATTTCGAATAATTTGACATTTCATGTACGAGGAATGATATTTTTATTTATTTTAAGTTTATCTGACATTAAGAAATTTGAATTTGATTGTTGTAGGTTGTAATATATTTGTACGCTGACCAAGTCGGCAGAATGTGCTTTTATTGAAAAATAAAATCATATATGTGACCACTTTCTTGCAAATAATCATTGTTTCAATTCAATTGATTTAAAGCAAAATAAAAATTCGGTTGCAGAAATTCGATAGGTATATCCATAAAATTTTCAATTTATTTATTATTAATTAAGAATGTCTTAGTCATGTTACCATTTACCTGATGACCTATAAAATTGCATTTCTATGGTTAGCAACGTACTGAACAAGGCGCAGCTCCTCTACGCCCGCATCTCAGCCGTCTGCCAGAGCATCAGGAACCATGTCAGGAGGCTGGCGGAAGATCAGGTTTGATACGGATTTACCATTAATGAGACAACATCAGAGATATTGGAACTCTATGGTCCATTGGTTAGCGCTTCAGTCTGCGATGTTTGTCTGCGGCACTTAAGCAACTTTTGCAAGGGTCTGTCATAGGAATGGGGTCCAAAAAAAGGGAGGAGCTCAAGTTAAATACAATTTTTGAGGCACGTCGAGCCCTTGATCGCAGCTGCATGAACAGTTGTCAACACCCACTAATCCGCTGGGCTTACATGTATTCGCGCCTTTTTGAGTTAGTTTAACATGACACATGTTTTGACCCTCTCTAGTATCCTTTCATTTTCAAGTTATAGGTAATATTTTATCCACATACTTGAGCTTGTGTTCCTTATAATAATATTGACATGTCTTCATCAGATGGTCAGGGACCTGATCGCCACCGCCATGGACGTGATGCTTCTGGTGTACGCCGTGGGATTCCTCGTCATATCCATGTACCAAGCCTCAATGATCAGTTAACAGCCAGGATAAAATGTAATTACACGACTTGTGCTCGATAGCCTTCAGCGGTGGAGTCCCTACGTAAAAGTCCTCATTAGTTCAGTAAACTATTTCGAAACAGTTAATGTATTGTTTTATTGTACTATGAACTAGTTTTCCGCCAGCGGCTTCGCCTGCGTGGTGCATAGGGAACAGCTTCTATATTATTAAATCAGACTTAGAATTATCCGTATACCAAATTGCATCAAAATCCTCGGTCACGGTCCAGTACCCAATTTTTGCGTGAAGAAGTAACAAACATCCAAATTTTTGGCCTTTATAGTATTATTAAGTAATATTAATAATTTTATTTATAATCATGTCGTTATTTTGAACAAGGATGATGACTGGGTAAAAAAATGAATTTAGTCCGCCAGTCTGATAATAGAAAAGTATTAGACACGGTTTTTTTTACTTCAATTTAAGAAGAAATAGCTTAGATCATCTTAAATTTCGAAGTTGTTTTTTCAACAGATAATAAAGCTAAATTGACTTTTTGGCGGCTTTTAAATCAGCCGTCTTGTTGAACAGTACAGATGTCATAATGATTCAACTAGAAAACTAGGCTTGCAATTATATGGCGCAATTTAATTAAATAGCTAGCCGCCTATTTGAACGGCCGTTTTTACCAGTTGATTGCGACATAAACATATTGAGGGGCAATCCAAGCATTGTCTTAGCTGAAATGAGGTGCTGGACTGTCTGAAGGAGAAAGGACTGTTCTTTATCTTTAGAGAGAAAGTTTCGTATAAACCTGAAGAAAGTATATTTACCTTACCTTTAAAAACTCTATTCTTACATGAACAGCTTTAGAAACCTCAACAGCCTTAATACATATGAATATTATACAATTTCAACGTTAATAATTTTTTAACATCCCATATTTAGAACAGCAAGCTTGTTCAACGAACTAAAATCTGTCTGGAAGAGATCGCTTTTAGCGATAAGACCACCTTTGTCCACCCTAACATTAAAACCAGAATTGTCAACGTAAAAATTAGCTGTGAGCAATAAAATGTCTGTCTAGACAAAGGTATCGAGATAGATATCTCGTGATTCATACCACTGGTGTGCTTACGAGTATACAGTGATTGATATAAGAATAAAAGTACCCACCACCCTACACACCCTAGACCCTAGATTCATTAATGATATTACCCAGCGATAATTTTGGCTTGGTTTGGTTGTAGGAACTAACGATTTTCGATATAGTCAAAAGCATTTTCGAAGTAATTTTGCGTTTTTTTTATGTTATACGTTTCTCAATTTCTAAATTACTTTTTATGTCTTTGTTTCTTAGACTCACAATCAGTTTGTAATTAGTTTTGGGTTTGACCTCTTGGTTATAGTTGATAGGAAATTAACTTAAAAAATACGACAAAAAATCCTTTTCAATAAAGGAAATCAGTACTGAGTCACGTTTACTAAAAAGTAATGTATATGAATCATCGCGTTACCTACAATATAGATCAACACTGTGTACTTTTCACATATTTTAGTCATTACCAGTTTTCTACAATATTGTGCAACTGCTCTTGAAAGCATTTGTTATTCGAAAAGTGAATTCATGCAACAACAATGCACGTCCATTGACGAGAGTATGCCGGATCTTCTGGTGTTTTCATGGAAACTACATGAAAAGCCGTTACACGTGGTGAAAACTATAAACAAATTTGTTTTCGTTAAGGTAAGATCACGTTGTGAAGGTATTGTTTAGTTTGTTGCATCCAAGTTTAATTATAGAATTAGCTTCGGCATTTATTTGTCTCATCACAAGTATAAATCATGAATATCATCAGAAGACCCATTAGACCCATACACGATGTATTGTATAAAAGCTATCTTTTATAAAGCTATCTCTTCATAAGTTTTGAGGCAATGTCTCTTTGTACAGCTGTATTGTGTAATAGACGAAGTTGCGGCTTACAGGAGAACTTTTCAGCTCGCGGAAAATCTTCGTCGGTTTTTTCCCGCCTTAAATAGCGAAATGACAGTTGCACGTAATTGTTTCGTTTCCTCCACCACGAGAAAATATAAATAAATGAATTTGCGATTCAAATAAACTAAAAGTTAACATTCTGTATTCAAAATCTGTAAAAAAATAAATAACGGATAGTAAAATTTTATTTAATTTTTTCAGTAAAAAGTTTGTCTCAAAACTTATGAATACACGAGGTACAGTGTATAACGCATTTTCATCTGCATTTAAACAATAGCTACTCTTAAACATATTTTTTGTGGTTTATAATATATTTAGTTATTTTATCATAGTCTTCTCAAAGAACCTTTACATTGACATTCTATAACTAGTCCGCTATCTTGGGTGGTCCACCATATTGAATCTAGAATGAAGATTTGGCAAAATGCATACACTGCAAGTTAAATAAAAGCTTTAAGTTGGTATTTACGACTTTCTAAAGCATACGAGGGTCAAACTGAAAGTTCTTAGAACTGGCCACTTATAAACAATATAATAAAAAAATAATTCTAAAATTTGAAAATATAACTCTTTGCCAATATTACTGAGTATATATTTCATTCATTTGTCATTTGTTTTACGATTTGGCGGCAAATTGAAAATTGTCTGTGTCACGTCATCATGAATTTAACATGAGAAAATTTTCGTGCAATGATTTTTTATGACTTTCGATGTCATTTAAGTCAACAAGAAAGTTATGATAGACTACGATTGGCCTTTCACGATGAAGCCCCATCTCGTGCGACTGTTTACAACTGGTTTAATGAGTTTAAACGTGGTCGCACTAATCTCACTGATGATTTACGTGAGGGACGGCCTTCTACGGCGACGACTGAAGATAACATCTGTGTTGTGCGGCGTATGATAGAGACTGACAAAAGAGTGACCTATCAACAGATTCGGACAAGCTTAGGCATCGGTATGAGTCAAGTGCACAAAATCCTCCACGAAAATTTAGCGGTCAGGAAGCTTTGCGCCCGGTGGATACCTCATAATTTGACTGAGGCTCAAAAACTCCATCGTGTGGATTGGTGTCGTAAAATGATTGAAAGATTTAACGGAGGTGACTCAAATGCTGTGTTCGACATACTAACAGGTGACGAAAGCTGGATTTACTGTTATGATCCTAAAACCAAAAGACAATCTGCTCAGTGGGTGTTTCCTTTCGAGGAGTTGCCAACTAAAGTGAAGAGAGATCGAAGTGCGGGAAAAAAAATGGTGGCCTCGTTCTTTGGAAGGATAGGTCATTTTGCAACAATTGTGTTAGAGGATCAAAAAACAGTTTCTGCAGAATGGTACACTACCAATTGTTTGCCACTTGTCTTGGAAAAAGTTCGAGAGAAACGACCTCGCAGTAGGATCCTCCTTCACCACGACAACGCCTCGTCGCACACCGCCAAGCGAACGATCGACTATTTGGCGACATCAAACGTTGAATTACTGGGTCACCCGCCGTATAGCCCCGACCTCGCGCCTTGTGATTTTTATTTATTTCCAAAAATTAAAGAAAAACTTAAAGGAAAGCGGTTTATGAATGCTGAAGAAGCGGTGGCTGCGTATCGCGATGCCATTGAAGAGACCCCTAAGGACGAGTGGGCAAAGTGCTTTTCCGAGTGGTTCCATCGCATGCAGCGGTGTATTGACGTGAATGGACAATATTTTGAAAAGATATAATAAAACTAATAACTGGCTAATGTAATCAGTTTTTGATTTTCTAAGAACTTTCAGTTTGACCCTCGTACTTTATAAGCACGAGTACATTAACTAAACACCATACTCGAACCTCTCAGTAATGCTTCTCAAAGAGTGGGTCTCAAGATAAACATGGTAAAGACAAAAATTATGTCAAATACCCATGCTGTACCCACTCCAGTTAAAATTGGGAATACTACACTCAAAGTTGTCGACCAACCTTAGACAGACAGTCCAGCTAAGTAAGTCTAATTTTGAGAAAGAGTTTTTCGTCGAATCCACCTGTCATCGGATGGGCAGCGTTTGGGAAGCTACGAAAAATCTTCGCGTCCGATTTACCTTAGTGTCTCAAGACAAAAGTCTTCGACCAGTGTGTGAGTGATGACCTATATCAGGTCACCTTGCGGACAATGGAAAGAGCAATGCTTGGTGTTTTCCTACGTGATCGAATTAGAAACGAGGATATCCATAAGACTCCTAATGTAACCGACATTGCTCGAAGAATGTAAACTTGACCGTGAACTGTAGTATGTGGAGATCACAATAGATCAGCAATGGTCGCAGTGATACTGGGCTGCATAAACCCAAGATAATCCGCAACTCGAAACAATAACAACAAGATCCCGTACTTAGAAAATAGTTTTGTTAAAATTAAAATAGTCTCAATTGAAGTGGTGGAGATAAACGAAAGGTTTTTACTCGTGGAAATCTTTCATTTCCTTTAATCATGAGAGCAAAGTAGCGAGTAACGACAAACAGAAAATAATTATGACAATAATATATTAGATGTAAACACCACATGCCATCACGTCTGCATCCGGTACTAATAACAAACAAACATACACGAGCTTTTTAGCTACTACGTTTAGTGAGTTAATCGTGGATAATATTTATAATTTATAACGCAAGTTTTGGAATCATAGGTACAGGATATTATATCTTACAAGGCGTAACTGTAAGCGTGAAAAATGACGTTATTTATTTATGAATAATGTCATTTTCTAGTTGTTTCCCGCGACTTCGTCCGCGTAAATTTCATACGCATATTATGTAGAGTCTATTTAAAATCTGTCCAGTTGATCAGGAGCCTATTCCATGCAAACAAACAAACGAATAAAGTATTTTATCTTTATAATATTAGTATAGTAGAGACGAATAGTCGTAATAGGTATTTACATTTCACCACTTTTATTTACTTATACTTTATTGCACTAATAAAAAGTACAAACGTCGGATTTAATGCCATTAGATATTGTCTACCAGTCAACCAGAGAGTTGTAGCTGAAAGCTTTGGAAAGGCAAGAAAGAAATTCATAGTAAAAAGAAAAACAATATCCTATCGAATTGTTACTTGCACTTGCCTCTATAGCTGAATGTGTCATGGTATTACCATCTCCAAGGTATCTCCAATCCGATGTAGTCAGAAACAATATGAGAAAGAAATTTGATAATAATTGCTCAAGTGATCAAATTGACTGGGCATTATAAATATTGTCCATCGCCTTGTGGGCAGAGTAATACAAACGTATATAATTATTAATTATTATTTACTTATAGTGGACTCACTATTGATCACGATCTAGCCCGAGGACAAAAATGAGATGTGATGAGACAAATGAGACGTTTCGTATGTTTCACTTTGACAACTAACAAATAGCAAATTTTTGTATGATATTTCATTTATCATTTGTCTAACCTTTCACTAGGTCCCATTCCTTTTAGACCAATAACGGTTCGTCAATCTATCAGTTCCCTTTTTAAAAATTTGATAATTTAACATTTTTTCCTCTGAGTATGTAGATTTGTGTTCAAAATTTTAAGTATAGCAACAGAAACATATAGGAGCGAGCGTGCCGCGGCAGCAGCCGGCGAAGTGCCAGAAGCGAATCACTTGTGAAAGCAACAGTTAGGTTAGCTTTGGTCATATTAATGGTAAAATTAGGTGTGACCATAAACGACGAGAAAAGGAGCCTGTTAGGTTGACTGTGATCACCAGAATCGACAATTATAAAAAGCACACCAATCGTAAAGTTGGGTTGGTGAGGTTTGGAAATAACACAAAATTTTATGACAAAAATTATCTTTTTGTTTGTATATTTTATGGAAGTTTTGACATATTATCATAAAATTTAAAATAAACTTAAGTTATTAGGCATAATTAGCATCTTATATTAAACTGTGTCACGCTTTGTATCCTCCCCGCACCGTGTATTTAGCTTTATTATCAAATTATTCAATTGTCGTATATCAACATATAGCCTGATACAAATACCAACTTTATGGAGATCAAATATTAAAACATAACAGCCGTTTTTTTTTATTATCAGGGTATCATATATTTCCTTTTAAATATATGAATTAAGTCATCTACATTTTCTTTCGGATTATTAGTAAAAAAAAATCCTTTAATTTCTCAATGGTATGATAAGCAAAAATATAACACGTAAAAAATAAAGTTTAATGAAAATCACTATTTCCTGTAAATTTTTTAGTTGGATTTCAGTAATTTTCATTGTAGCTATGATAAATAAAACCATTTGTGAAAAAGGTTGTCCCTGAATGGGACCTTTTTGATACATTTTTGTTTATGGTTTATATTTATTTTTTATAATGTTTTTGTTCATTATCGATTCCTTTGGTTTTTGCAATATATGTCACAAGAAAAAGACGTATTTTTATTTGCTAAAAATTCTCTAAAAAATAACGGCTAAATAGTATTATCAGTCGTTAACAAAGGTCGAGTTAGTAATTTTGCGTGAAGGAAATGAAGGTTTTTTGACTTGATGTTATTTTATACCTTCCGTAGCTAAAATGAGATGGATTCTTAAATATTACACAACCTTGATTAAATATATTCCAGCCTGATACAAATACGAAAAACGGAATTATTTCCGTTTTTCTCGTATTTGTATCAGGCTAATAATAATGAACGTGCAGTGTGATAAATAATGAAGTTTAGATAGAAATTAATCAGTTTGCCTAATAGCACTGGGGATTATTCACAATGCTCGAACATTATTAATAATACCCGCATTAATCACCTGTATATATAGTCTCGAGTCTGGGTGTTGTGGTACCTCTGTTGTTTATGGTTTATCTGAGCAATGTAATATTTGTCTAATATTTACTTGAGATGGCAACACCAAAAGGTAACATAACAACGGTGATCAATTCGTCACCTGAAACTTATCCCAAGGTCAGTGCGAAACTCCGCCCGCCACAACACAAGAATGAGCAAAATGCATACTCAAGATGATAAGTCACCGATAGTACAGGCGAACACTGAACCGTTTCTATTAATTTTAAATTACTGACGTCACTTGTCTTTGATTTTTAATAAAAAAATCAGACTGTACCTACTGAATTGAATGCTGTTACAACAGTAGGCCTTTTTTATCCTATGATTCAAAAACAAAAATCCATGCCAAGACCTGTTTTGTCTTCCGACACATGAATTTTAGAATGTTTGTGCTATTGAGTGTTTGTGCACGCAGAAGTTAAGTCACGACTTGCACTGATTCAATAGCTAAGTAATAAGTTAACTGTAAATAAACTAACCCATATTTATTATACGAATGTATTGTCATTTATAATAAATGAGGGTAAGATATATTTTCAGAGTGAAACGTAGAATACCTAAATGATTTTTGATAAAAATTAACCTTATGTTTCCTTTTCGAATCAAGTGGCATATAAGAAACCAAACAAAGAACTAGTTATGGTGATATTCATATATGGGTTGAGATACTCATTAAAGTTCTTAGGCGACACCATTTTAAAGTTTCAAAAATCCAAAAATCACGGGTTTTTCATTGATATTGACCAAATAAAATCCCAATAAACTGTTATTAAAATAAGAAATGTACATTGTATGTTTATCTAGGGCAGTCATTGGTCTGTGACCAGATTTGCTATTCTGTGTTAGTAATGTTTGTTAGTGACTGTACTGGCACGGGAACACCCTCGGCGGTGGTATCACAGTCAGTACACGATGTACGGGTACGCTGTAATCGCGCTCCTCGCGCTAGCTGCCAATGCTCACGCGCAGGTATAAACAAGATAAACTTATTTATTCTTTAATTATTGAAAATATAACCGAAATACGTGAAACCAAAAAGGAATCGATCAGTGCTTTTTTTATATAAATGCGTCTTCAGTGAGAGTTTGCTGGAAATTTCGTTAAAAATGAATTAGGCAAAATATTGAAGTTTACCTAATCTGAATGAAAGGTTTAATTATAATGTTATTTGTTTGCGTTTCATCAAAATTAATTAAGAAAGCAGTTCGATATTATACGTGATTATTTTCATTAGTTGGGTAAATAAGAAAGCTATGTGTTATGTATTTTTCAAATATTTATATATATCACAATGTTTATTATACAGTAACCGATAAACATATGTTTATTACAAAGAAATGTACGATAGTCGAGATGGCAGCAAAATACATTTATGATTTTTATTATAAAATAAAAAAATATATGAGTTAAGCTTTACTTATTTTACTAAGTTAAAAGTAAACGGTTTCGTTGTGCTATTTTTTTACGTGAATGAACAACAAATTTGGTAAGTTTTTCAAATTTTTTACATCAAAACACCAAAATTATCGAACTATTTATAAAGTTCTTTGTAACCACTAGCCTGAGTATGAATGTGCCATTATATACCTAGGATAAAAACACCTTAAAATATAAAGATATAACAAAAACTATTCATAAAAGTTTATTGACTTGAAACCATTCGTAAGAAAGAACAAAATAATTATTTTGTAATACCGTAGCTGTTTTTCTGGTAAACAAACAAACAATCAAAGTTTTTCTCTTTATAATATAACAACTATTACGATTGCGATAGCGATACCATATTTTTATATATGTAAATAATGTTTATAACTATTTCACTGTTGTATTCTGTTTGTTTGTAGTTCACATTCCACTCTTGTTTAATTGACTTTAGTTGATAATAGTATATATTTTATTACTAACATTATGTGGGCTGAGAGAGATGCCTTAGATAAGATAATGGTGTTACACAAACATGAATTACATCTTGCTTTAAGAAATTGTGTATGTATTGCATATGTTATAGTCAAAAATCGATATTCAGCCTATTCCCGGAATGACTGATTAACCCAAAGATTGACAGAGTCCTACCGAGAAACGTAAAAATAAATTCCAATTTGGCATAGACCAAAGTATTTTACTCAAACCTAGAAGTATCTTAATTTTAGTTAAATGTTGAAGTAAAATAATCTTATATTTCTCATTATGAATATAAAATAATCTATTCCGGAATTTGCCTAATTTATCTTAGAAGATACCGATACAGACAAGCGTCGATGTCAGTTAACTGAAAAAGTTTTCGCCAATTTAACCACAATAATAAACACGCTTTTCGTTAGCAATCAGATTTGTAAAAGAATAAAAAGAGGAATTATTTAATTTAGAAGTTGTACTAGAGATGTTTAGATGCTTCAAAAATTCATCAGTTTTAAGTTTGGTCAAGACTTTATGAAATGCCACTGTAATAAAAAAGATTTTCGAAATTATGCAAACGTATTTGATCAAATGTCATAACATATCATCTTGTGAAATTGAAGAGCTAAGTAAGTTTCAGTTGTATCCATGGACGTAGTACTAGTTATATAGCACTAAGTCCTTGGTTGCACCATAATTATAGTTAAAGTTAAGGTTTATGTCGAATATGAAAGGGTTATGACACCGTAAAACAATAATTTCAGCCAACAAAACTTCGGGGGTTACAGTTTACGGTTATTTTTGATGTCATACAACTATTTCCAAATGAAAACTCATTATTATTAATTTCTTAGCTGGTACTTTAACATGCTATTTATTATATTTGAACAATTTTTCATTCACAATGCTACATTGAAAAATATTCTTAATGAAAAATGTTTAAAAAAACCATATTGTCCCGGGCACTTTCATTAAGAATATTTTTATAGCAAATATAATATTTAGAACAAATTTTCATCTTTATCGAAAGTTTAAAAATATGTAAAAATATTTCTTTCGGCTGTTTGTGTAGATTGCCTGAACATTGATGAAAATACGCTCTGTAGTAGCGAAAAGTAACAAGTGCTTGAAAGATTCGTCAGTCCTGTTAGGTCCTGGGTAGCTCAGTGGTTAGAGCAGTCGCCCACATTGCGAAAGGTCATGGGTTCGAGACCCATCTCGGAGTATCAGGGAAAAAGAGCATTTATTTAAGATGTTTCATTAAGAATATTTGTTAAACTAAGTTGTTGCTACTCGCCCTAAAATGTTAAGACAGATAAGGGTTGGTGCAAATCTGACGGAAGATTCGTTTTTGTATCAGACCGAAGTATGTGTTAGTACGTCTCTTTCATCGCGTGTCCAAGCAATCTCGAATCATATATTTTTCAATAATTCTAATGTTCCGCGATGGACTGGACTCAACACAATTCTTCCATCAGATATGCAGCGTTTTTGTTAGCTAGGTTATTGAAAGGCCGGATGGTTACCCATGCCGGGTATAATTTTCATGGGAGTTATTTATTTTTGACCGCGCAGATAAAATCGCAAGCTATTAGAATAAAATAATTCTTTGAAACCTTGTGTGAATCTGATGATGTAAGACTATGATTGCTGAAGATTGTGCCTACTCTTATTTAAGAAATAGTTATTGTCATCGTGTATTACAAAATCATAATCAGCTAGACAAATATTATGCATCGTGATTTGCATAGCACAAACGTTCACAAGGTCGCGCTCCTTATTACGTCACATGCCTTATGACGTCATAATTCATATTCCATAGAATTGTTACTCTGATTTAATAAACAAAAAAAAAACAGTCAAGACTGTAACACAGACAAAACAAATTTCGTGAATGTATTTATATTCCGCGTGAATGTATTAGGTTCATATGGGTAGGTAGTGTATCCGTAAAGCTACATATTATTATTAAACGATTTTAAAACACGGGAATCCTGACCCCTTATTATCTTTTCGGACACAGGACTGCGTTTAAGTGTCTTTGACCACATATCTTGTTTCCATATCATTAACTATGTTTACATCACTCCACTTTCAATAGGGATGATGACTAATTTTTGTTTGTTTGTCCGTCAGGTAGAGTGTTCAAAAATATTAAACATGTATTTTTTTATTTTTTCGTAATCATAAAATTACGGCGTTACATGGAGTTGAAATTTCGCATGACGTCACGTTAGAGTATGTTTTCTACTCAACTGTGACGTAGCAAGCCCCCACTCCTCAACATTAATGCCTGTTATCTAAGCTATTTCTTGTTAAATTGAAGTAAAAAAAAATACGTATCTAATATTTTTCTATTATCTGACGGAATAAATAGGATTGCATTTTGTTTTCCCAGTCATCATCCCTATTGTATTACACAGTTTGATTTGATTTTCAACTTTCCAGTCATCTTGTATCAATCATAGTGCCATAAGACGCATGCAACTTAGTGTCTTTATTTCTGCGTTTGTCGCTTGCAGCATGAAACCTCAAACGCCTTGATTAGTAGACTAAGGTGTTGGATTAAGGTGCGTTGGCGGCATGCGCTGTGGTAGAGCTAGTTTCAGTGCATGCGCAATTTTAGCTAAGGTATTTGTTAGAAGAAAACGCATGGGAAAGCGTTCTGGTGTAACATAGGTAAAATTTTAAAGTTGCTCTTTAAAAACTAATAATAATAAACCTCATTGATAAAAACTATAGCTTAGTAGTGTAAATATATTTTAATTATTTCATTGGAGATCGCTTAGATGGCAGTATATTTAAACGAGTGCGCTAGTGCCGACTCACTCCACAGAGGTAGTTTTTATTTATTCGCTTGGCGTATCTACGTTGTTATAACTCTATGGCACTTCTGCATTGAAACTGAAATCAGCTGAATGCAATAAGGCGCTCGTAAAAACATAGTTAACAGTGAACTATTGCGAACAGTGGACAAATAATTTAGACCACTCCATTTTATGTTTGACGCGGTTTATGAGCATTATGTATTCTACTTGTTTTACTTCCGAATGGTGCAATGGTTAGTGCGGATGCGGAACTTAAGCAACTATAGAATGGCCGGACATAGGACGGGTGATCAAAAATTTATTATTTCGAGCTGCATCGGGTGAATGGAATGGGTGGACCAATCAGTACTGAAAAAATTACACAATCACATTTTTAAGCAAGACCATTTGTCTTATAAACAAAAAATCTCAACAAAAAAATTATATAATCAGTTATTAGAAGATATTATAAAACCTTGCCGTTAATAATAATATTATCCATTTACGTATAATATTTAACGTACAATCACATTCTTCTTCTTCACGGTATATATTTAGTAATAACTCAAAGACCATTACAACGAAAAGTTATCAAAGAAGTGAAATATAAGACCTCCATCTCGGATTCAGTAAGTTTATTATATACAAGTTCTAAATATTTGTGAACCCAATAAGGCTTATCTAGTAGTATACTGTATTGTTTGTAGTTACAATGGTGCCGCTGTTTGTCTTACCGTACAACGTACTGTGGTACGGTCAGCAAACAAACACAAGGGCATGGCACAGTAACGAGACACTACATCCTAGGGTTGTATAATTGAATCGTTCGTCTTGTCGGGAACGACACTCAATGGACTCATAAAATATATCACTTAAAAATCAAATGTCCTAAGTTATTAAAAATTACAATATTCTGCTTTAGGTGAGTACAAAATTCACCATTTCTTCTTGTAATTATAATGTTTTATTAAAGGAAAAATTTATAAATAAGTCAGTCATAATATGAAATGTAAATTCCAGTATCTTTGTGATTCGCATGATCGACAACTCCGTTCTTCTAACACACTCTCACTTTCTACTCCTCTTTTTCATTCTGGCTTTATGTTCGACTCTTTTACCCTCCAAGCCATACGACTGTGGAATAGTCTCCCTGACCCCATCAGAAGATCTCCCAATAAATTTATTTTTAAACGTAAAGCTCATGCCTTTCTTATGAAAAATATGTGAAATTCATCATCAGTATTATGTATCTATATTTGTGCTATT